TAATATCATTATTTATTGATTAATTTCATCTTACTTATAATTTTTTAAATATTAAAAGTAATAATCACAATCCTGAAAAAACTTGATTCATTATGGATATATCAAATTAAAATTTGTAAAAATATTTTGAAGGTAAGGTAAAATAAATAAAAATGATAATTAGGTTGTATTTTTATTAGTTTAAAAATTGCTGATAAGATTTTTCGTTAATTAATTATGTTAAATGTTTTGAAAATTAAGATATACATATAGAAGGAAGTATAATTTGGCCATTAATTTTTTTCGGATCTCCCACGTCTTCTATTTAAACAAGCTATTGTTTATGTATTATTTATTTACCTAACCCATTTTTAGTGAATATTTCCTAACCTTTGCGAGACAGTAAAAGCCATTATTATTCGAAGTAATAATGACGATGATAATAAAACCTAGCGAAGAGCCAAGTTGCACAGTTTGAGAAAATTAATTGAAAATAAAGAGGTTAAACGGTGATTAAAAATTAGAAATTAGATGTGGAGAATTAATGGGTAATCTATATTTCGAAATGGATCCTTCAGGATAATACAAGCTCCCTTCCAAGATAATTAACACACACATAATTGAATAGTTTATGACTAGTCACATGCATAATTGGTGTGCCCGCGCGCCCATATATACTTTTTCATATACTCCTCCGATCTTTAATATAAGACTCATTTAACTAATTTGAATAGATTAAGGAAATTAGGTAAGTTAGTTAATTATAAGAAAAGTAACACATTTTTCTTAAAACACCATGATTCATCTTTCTTAATATCCCCTCTCCCTTTTCTACTTGATTATGGTGAGAAAGTATATAGGGGTAATTTAAAGAAAATTGATAAATATGAGAAAGGGGTCTTATATTTAAGATCAAAACCAACAGAAGAATTGGATTCTATATTAAGGACTGGAGGAGTAAAATCTAATTAACTAATTTAAATAGGTTAAGAATGTTAGTTAAATTGGTTAACATGATATATATTTTCCTAAAACACCTTAAGCATTTTCTTTAATTCTTTTCTTACCTCTCGTACTTGATTATTATTGGAAGAATAACAACAACGTTAATTTGAAAAAAAAATTGATGAACATGCGAAATAGGTCTTATATATAATAACAACATTAACTCCCCAATTACTATCTTTGGTAGTTAATATAAGAGTTAGTTGACTAATTAAATAGATTACAAAAATAGTTAAGTTAGTTATTTGTAATAAATAAGTATTGTCTTTTCTAAAACATCTTTATTAATTAATGTATTTTGACTAGAATTACTATTATTACAAAAACTATTTAAAAAAATTGATAAATATAAAAAAAGTAAATTAAGATTTTATATTTAGGATTAAAATAAAAGTTAAATGAGTTTTTATGTTAAAAATCAGAAGTAGTAGCTTTTACAAATATACATACATATATATATATATACTCCTCCGGTCCTTATTATAAGACCCAATTTGACTTTTATTTGGTCCTAATTATAAGACCCAATCCATTTTCTCTCTTATATTTATGCATTTTTTTCCAAGATAATCCTTCTAATAATATAGTTTAGCCAATATACTTAATTAGTAAGGATATTTTAGGAATAACAACACTTATTTATTATAAAAACCAATTTAATTTACTTCCTTAATCTCCTCAAATAAGTCAATTGGGTCTTATAATTAGGACCGGAGGAGTATGTATATTTCATTTCTTTCCATGTAACGGTCAAGTCAAATATTCTACGTTTAGTACGTTCATTAATATTTCTTTTTTTTTTTATACAAACGTTCATTAATATTTCAATTACTTTGAAAGTGCTGGTCCTATATAAATATAAATATAAATATATATATGTATATTTATATGTATATAGACGCACACACTACCTCTAGTGTTTTCAATGTCACGTTTCATATTTTCAAACAAGACATGCGATAAATTTGACACATTAATTTCTAACTTTTTTGGAGTTAAAAAATTATTAGGAGCGAATTAATGCTCCGTAGTTCTATACACCTATCCTAGATGGCTTAAGGGTCATACGAGTTAATTTTTTTTGGCCAAAAAAATAATTAATGAAAGAGCTGAACTTTCCAAAATCCAACTTCTTTAAAGCATAATTAAAGAGGCCATAGGGTTTCCTGGAATTAGTCAAGTCCATTAGAGGAAAGACACATGACGAAGTGAGGGAGGTCCATGTTGGCAAGTTGGAAACGAAATGTTTGGATGGCAATTGGTAAGCAGATTCTTAATACTCCTCCAATATTAAATATAAGATTTATTTTGTAGTTAATTTACACTACAAAATGAGTTTTATAGTTAGGAACGGAGGAGTACAAATGTTTTTTTCCCCCAATTGGATCTCTTTTATTATGTTAAAAAAATACTACTCCCAGTTTTTAATATAAAGCCTTATTCGATTTTTATTTTGGCATAAATATAAAACATCAATCCACTTTATCTCTTATATTTATATATTTTTTCTTGAGATAGTATTTCTAATAATAGTAGTTCTAACCAAAATATTTGATTAGCAAGGATATTTTAGGAAAGACAATACATATTTATTATAAACAACTAACTTAATTTATTTACTTAATCTATTCAAATTAGTTAACTAGTTTTTATATTTAAGACCGGATGTAGTATGTTACTACTTACTGGGATTTTTTTTTGGTTGGAAATGAGATGACCACAAAAAAAATTAAAACAGTCTAAACAAAACGGGAATAAACTTAGATGCTCTCTCTGATCTCTATTATAAGACATTTTTTGGAAGTAATATTTGATCTCAAATATAAGTATACCATCATCTAAAAAGGGTTGGAGTGGGAAAAATTTATGAATATAGAACAAAATGACTTAATTATCATTTCTGAACATGTTAGAATTAGTTGGAAGTATCTTATAACAAGAACCAGAAGAAGTAAGAAATTAAGAGATATCCTAGTTGACAGAGTGTATGGATCAAATCCTCCCTAATTTAATAGTTTTATGCTTTAAAGGCGACAACTGTGGATTTGTATTGAAAAAAATGGAAATTAGGAGATCCTTCCACCCTATGGGGAGTCATTAAGGATCCTATCGTCACAAAAAATTTATCTTGATGCGCCTGACGGGTAAGCAAGTTTATACAATTATTCAATTATTTAAATATACATGTTTGAGCCTGAGCATCCGATTAATCTCACATTATGAGCCTTTTGATCTTGTTGATAGAGCTAATAAGTGGATGACGTTGAGTTATCTCTCCAAGTTTGAGTGATGGCTTCAAGAGAATTTCAATGGAAGTTCACTTTGGCGCATCTTTCATCCAACAAAAATTAATACCTTTAAAAATGTCCAAAAGTTCTGCTGCAATATTAGGATAAACTCCTAAGCCTTTCTTTGGATTGAGAGAAACATGAGAGAAAAATAGGGGGAGGAAACATGAGGAAGGAAAACTTTCAAAAACAATAAAAATTTACTTCTCCGGTCCTTAATGTAAGACCTATTTAACTAATTTGATTAGATTAAAGAAGTTAAATAAGTTAGTTAATTATAAGAAATATGACATGTTTTTCCTAAAACACCATAATCATCTTCCTTAATATCCTTTCTCTCTTCTACTTGATTATAGTTGGGTAAGTATTTATAGGAATAATTTAGAAAAAATTGATAAATATGAGAAATAGGTCTTATATTTAGGACCAAAATAAACTCAATAATTAGGTTCTATATTAATGACTGGAGGAGTACTATTTTTTGAGAGTTTTTCCTTCTTGTATTCTTTTCTCTGTAATTTCTCCCATCCAAACATATGTTAAATATTGAGTGAAACCTTTGTACTCCTCCTGTCCTTAATATAGAACTCAATTTTTGAGTTGGTTTTGATCCTAAATATAAGACCCATTTATTATATTTATCAATTTTCTCTAAATTACCCCTGTAGATACACTCTCAACCATAATCAAGTAGAAGAGGGAGATTGGATATTAAGAAAGATGATTATGGTGTTTTAGTAAAAATATGTCACTTTTCTTATAATTAACTAAATTACCCAACTTCCTTAATCTAATCAAATTAGTTAAATATGTCTTATATTAAGGACTGGAGGAGTATATAAATAAGGGAGAATCTACATGCGGCTAAAGCTAAACCTTTGTCGAGACCTAGCTTTCCAGGGAATGATGATTTCTTCTAAGATTAAGCACTTCTCTTATATATATGGAGAGCAGCTTCTAGAAGCATGGTTTAAGTTGATGACGGTGTTAGATGTGCCCATATGGAATAGTTTTTAAGCAAAGTGTGAATGCCCCCTTTAGATTATTCTCGGGACTTTGGTTGGATTATTCTTGGCATCTTTCCCATTTATTGATGTGAAACTTGTGATGATCACAAACCGATCAGTGGTAAATTCATACCGCATTTGGAAGCACCCACATATTAGAATTGAGATTTGAGTAAATTATTGGAGTTAAACTACATATAATTAAAAAAAAAAAAGCAGCCGCCAGGGTTTCACTTTGATCAGAATCTGATTAACTCTGACCATTTTTTCAAGTAAACTAGGATATTGATACGCTAATCAAGGTAACCACGCTACATTAACTTCTGTCATATCATATGGTTCCAGACCTTAGGTCCGGGCACCTGAGGTCATATTTGCTCATTTTGATCTTTCTTTTCTTCCTATAACGACATTTCTCCCTTTTCAGTTAATATTCCCAACCGTTCTTTGGTTCTTGCTAGCTATTCAGGAACTGTTCCTTATTCTGATTCTCTTTCAATTTTAACTTGATTTCGATGACCAAGCTAACAAAATCGTTTTCACCCACCCACATCAAAACACAATTGTTTGATCCATGGCACTACCGATTGGGACACCTTTCCCACCACATTTTACAAAAATATTCAACAACAGTTTCCTTATATTTCTTGTCTTGCATAATAATGACTGTGATGGATGCCACTATGCCAAACAGAAGTGTTTACCATTTTCTGATAGTCCATCGCATTCAAACAAAATTCTTCCATTGCTTCATGTCAATCTCTGGGGTCCCTTTCTCTGGGTATGCTTGGACCATTCTTTTACAGAACAAATCTCAATCTGGACAAGGTTTACAATATTTGATTTCTTTTGTTGAAAATCAGTTTTAACGGGATAATGGAACTGAATTCTCTATGACTAACTGTTACACTTCTAAAGGGATTCTTCATCAAACATCTTGCATTGAAACACCTCAGCAAAACTATGTTGTAGAATTTTAAAAATCAGAATCTTCTTAAGGTAGCTCCTGCACTTCCGTTTCAAGCTCACGTTCCCAAACTTTATTAATAGATTGCCAGCACCATCACTTGGTAATCAGTCTCCATTTTACTTGCTTCAACATTAGTCTTTCTGTGCATCCTCTACAAGTGGAATTTTCTTCAGTGGTACGCAAGGCGACAAAATCTTCACCATGAGAGTCTAATTCTTTGATCCCATCTCGTAAACAATTATACTGTTATATGGTCTTCTTTCCCAGTTTCTGACAATTAATTGTACACCACATCGGTTTGGGATTATAAAATAATTGAAACTGTAGAAGAGAGTTCTTATGACTAACGTAGAAGAATTCATCAAGGCAGTTCAACAAAAGATCACGGTAGGTATATTCTATGCAGTAATTTCTCCACCATGATCACGGTCGTATATTTTGCAGTAACTTTGTTGATTTGAATATATCTTTTTGGACCAGAGAGAATGATTTGATCAAGTTGATGGATAGGAAACGGGCAATAATAACAAGTTGGCATGCACATGCGTATCCCGATGTGTTTTATTCGTCACTTACTGGTTTACTTTAGAAATCTGTAAATGGAAATGCAGTTAATTTCTGTTTCCCTCTTCCATCTTTCATACACCGGTAATGCAAACTTTAAAAGTTCGGTAAAATTTGCAGAGATGCATCTGAAATAATCAAAGCAGCATGTCATTGAGCATATAAAAGCGTCTCTGAAGGCTCAGTCAGTAGACTCAAGTGACTCAGTTTTCTGATGATTGGAAATCTTGGAAGTCTCTTATATAATGACCTTTCATTAGGATTAACACGGGAAAAAGTAGGAATGAAATAAATAACTTTTGATCTTTGTCACTCTTTCCACAGCCGGATAATCAGATTCTATCTTGTTCAGTTTGAATTACACCAAGCACATTCTTCCAAAATGATAATGTACAGATTACATTAGAAGATCAAACAAACTAAAAGCCAGAAGTGGAATCTAATACTGAGTTTCCAAGTAAGCAAGGTAGCAGATATAACACTACTCTGGCTTCTTCACCACAAGGACAGGGCATTTGGCATTTTGGAGACAGTAGCTGCCCACACTTCCTATAAGAGCCCTGTATGACCATGGTGGTGTTAGTACCAAGTAATTTTGTAAGGGAAAGTTTTGTCTTTTTTTGGTCGAATTAGCAGATAATTGTATAGAAACAAAATCTAAGACATTAATTTTTAAATATTTTTTAAACATCATCATGCAGATTGACCATGGGACAAGAATAAAAACCTTTTTATTGTTCCAAGGCCACGCTCCCCCAACACAAGCAAATCGATATTATGCTTTTCCACTGCATCACATATGGCTGTTCTCGGATCACCTTCCTCTGTACAGATCTCTGCATCCACCTTTACTCAAATAAAAAAAAAAAAATCTGATCACTTTCTTTTAGCCTTTATTTGGGAAACAGTCATCAAAAAACATTATTGTTAGTCAAACAAAAGAGCCATGACTAGCACATACACTTTGTCACCCAGATCACAGGAAAATAAAATTGACAGAGATTCCAAAAGCATTAAAAAATAAGGTACCCCATGACTAGCACAGATACTTTTAGCTCTCTGCAAGAGAGCCAGTGCAAACTTGTTCTGATTCTCCTTGTATGAGTTCACAAAATCCGGTCCTGCATGTTTAGCAGAACACAAGTTCATCAACAAGAAAGAAACCACAAAAGCTCAGGTAACTAAGGAAAACAAGGACACACAAAAAGGAGAATCCCTGAGATTAATGAGTGGATGAAATTTTGTAATACTTAACCGGGTGAAAAAAGAGAGTAGAGGCGAGCAGAGCCAAGGGAGGCTTGAAAAGTGTAATTGGTATCAAGAGCAGGCTGAACCATGAAGAGCATAATGGAACTGCTTCTTATGGATTCCTTGAGAGTTTTGAGCAACCAAATGAGCGCATAATAACTGTAATCACTTTCATCTATGGCCACCATCACCTTCTTCCCTGGCCCTCTGTGATCTTCTCCTATTACCTCTTCTGCCATTTCAAGGTGATGACGCCGAAATCTCGACTCTCAAAAGTGTGATAGGATGAAGGCATATGGCATCTCTTTCATATGTGTGGCTTTCATTCGAGAAAACCTCGGTGTTATACCTGGTAGTTGGGAAACAGGAAATTGGATATCTCAGTGCACCAATCAGTCCAACATTGCTGAAGATCAATAGGGTCTTGGTTAAATTCAAGATTGGATCATTAGACCCAAAGAACCAAAACAGTGCATTTCTGGTAGGGTTGGTATTATGGGCCAACTCGCGGGTTGGGTTGACTCGTGGCGGGTCGGGGCTCGGGCGGGTGGCTTTTAGCCAACCCTAATCGGCCAAGGTGGGTTGGGGGGTTGGCCCGCCAACCCGCCAACATTTATTTATTTATTTTTTGAAATATTTTTTTTACTTTTTAATATTTTTTTCTTATATAATATTCAAAAATAATAATAAAATTTTTGTTTTTTCTTGAAATATTTGATTAAAAGCACCAAATAAATTATATAGGTATTTTTTATATTTTTTAGATAAGATATAATATATAATAATATAATTATAATAATTAAAATTTTTTTTTTTAAAAATGTGGGTTAGCCCGCGGGTTGGCGGGCTAACCCGCGGCAGGTTGCGGGCCTGGCGGTGCAGGTTAAAAAGACTCGTTTACTGACGGGTTGGCTTTTGACCAACCCTAACCCGTCATTTTTGCCGGGTTGGCAGGTTGAACCCCGCAGGTTCAACCCATATTACCAGTTCTAATTTCTAGGGGTCAGATTAATGCGTACAAAGCCAATACTGAAGCATGTTACTGAAAAGTAAATCTAAGCTGTATCTTCATTTACTTACTCTTCAGTCTTTGGTCTCATAGGAAAATATTATAGAGTGCTTTATCACACAAAGTTAGCCAGAGAAAAATAACCATTGGAAAAACCCCTTGGAGGTGGTAAATGTGAGTGAGTGTGTGTGTGTGGATGAGGACAGGGGTGCTTTTTCAGGGAGGGAAACTTGAAATTGGAGTGGAAAGAAATCTTTTTGATTTATTACTTTGATGTTTCTACGCCATTGGGATATTTTGAGAATACATTCCAGGTGGTCAAAAGTCATAACTACTGGTCAATCAAAACCAAACAAACAACCATGAAAACACCAAGCAGCATTCATGGGATCTCATGATGAGAAGCACTATTGTCAATCCACATGTTCTGTGTGTGCTTGTACCATATTCTTCATAAGTCATTAATATTATTGTTTATCTATTTTTCAAACTTCGCATTTATTTAGTAGTAATTTTGAATTATTAAAACCATCTTTCATTTTTTTCCCTCAGTACCCATTTTCTTTCAAATCTTGCAAGCTAGAAGTTTTACCGAACAAAAAGCCAAGGGCAAAATTACAAATTATTAAAATGTTATGATTTATGAACACAAACACACACACACACGTTTCATTTTTGATACAAAAGAGAACTAGATCAATGCATTCACATTTAAACCTGACACATCAGACTTAAAGCCATCTTTCCTTTGAAAATACTCAATCATAACTTCTTAGCCGAAGAAAAAGGATCTCCAGAATATATATTCATTGCGAGCTGTACATATCATCCTGAAAATCTCCAATGGCAGTGATGAAATGAGGAGGAGGAGAAGAGTGATGAACATATGAGAAGACTAAATGGAATCAGTAGCAGATTCTCTTGCAACCTCACATTTACAATCATCAAATTTAAAATAACAAGTAACAACACAAGTATTGTTCATTCTTATCAATGTACAAAACTGGTCAAGATAATTATGTGCGTGCATGTAGATAGAACATTCTGGCCTTGCTGTCCCACGCGCAAAATCCATATCCTGCATCACATTTTCTTGTTTGTTGTATCTTTATGAAGCGTCTTTATCTGTTGAAGAGGTCTTCAATATTTAAAGAGGTTGGTCCATCCAAATTTTGATGAACAATCCATTGTACTCGCCCCTTTCACTCGCTTCTTTATTAATCCAACAAACCCTATCACATCCCAATATGTTACCAACTAACATGAATCTAACTCAATTTAAGAGACCCCAGATCATGACCACTGACAGTGTAGACACTCGGGATATTTCATCTTCACTTGTCAATCTATGTAAGCATCTGTTTCTGCAAATTGGACTCTTGTTTTTGACATATCTGTTAAGCCCCCTCTGCTTGTGAACCATATCTCATTAACTTAATTGTCAGTTAAAAAAAAAAAAAAGCTGCAGTAAATTGTCACTATTATTCAGAGAGCTCTGAAATGAATTTGCCCTTTTTTTAATTATAAATTCATGAATATGAAAGTTACATTTCAGATCTTGAACATATTGATGATGACTGGGAAAGTAAAAATCAACACAAGTTGCAGTGTATTTGGTTTACAGAGTTTCATCCTACAGTTCTCCAACTAATTTATGTGTATGAAAGAACTCATATTTGGATTTCATAATAACTTTGAGGTTTCCAACCGAAACCAAGACCAATTTTTTTTCCTATTGAAGTGGCCATGTAGGATTCCAATAAGCAAAACTTCCATAACCTTCTTGTTCAGTCCTTTCCATCCCTTGGATTCCATCTGTGCTAGTACTTCTCTGCAACACATAAGCCTCTCATTAGCTGGTCAAGAAAAGTTCGTATGTATGTATGTACATGTGTATGTATGTATGATACGTCTCAAACAAGTACAGAACGCGGATGACAGTAAAGGGGTACCTGCATAGTTTGGAGGGTATCTATCTGGTAGGTGTTGAAATCAAAATGCATGCTTGCTGCTGAGAGCTTCATGGAAAGGAACTTTTAAAGAAAAGGAGGGGAAATTTAATATCAGCAGGGAGGATATATCTTATAAACTAATGTGGGAAAATAATGAATTATACCACCACCATATTAATCACCTCAATCTGTTGCTGTAGCGATAGAACATAGTTTATGATCACGTCTAACATAACTGCCATTCCCATTGCCTGCAAATTCATAAAAAAGGGCCCTACTTTGTTACAAACATGTACTAAACAAACATATTATAACGTCAAGGGCTATTCTGATTTCTGATCATTTAACCTTGTAGCAGCCTGGAACCAGGTCCTGCAAATATCTCAGCTTCTCGTTGATTCTCTCTCTTCTCACCTGGAATTTAAAAAAAAAAAAATGTATTATCTCGAACCTGGGGGCTACGAATTTTATAATGGGGTTGGTTTTTGAGCTCGTACCCGTTCTGCTAAACTGTGGCTATCAGTAGCTTGACCTCTTTTTGCCCTTACATGGATTACTTCTTTCTGTTTCTCTTCAATCCTGCTATTGTTTCTCTTCCTTTTCAATCCAACTGCTTTCTGTTAATTGCAACAACATAATAACAGAAACCCTTAATTTTTATTAAGCAATGAACTTCAAAAACCAGAACAAGTTTTTTAAAGCATAAGATAATTTTTCTTAACCTTTCTCATTTCTGGAAAATCTGCAGAATGCAGAGAAGAAGAATTCTCCCCTAGGCTTTCTGATGACTGAATCAGTGGATGCTTAAGCCGTTGATCCATGATGACAAATCCTTGATTGCTTAACTAGAGAGACGAGAGACGACCACTTTCTTCAAAAAGTTTCAATTTTCATGCTTCATTAATTCCTTTTTATAGACTTGATATATCAATCATGTTGGCTAACGAGTTAGATACAAGGAATGCAGTTAAACGCGTTGGAACCTTCATATATAATGCTTAGTTGATGCACATATATTTGGATTTTACAAAACAACAGCAGTGTACTCTATTTAATTTATAATATATGTGAGCTTTATGTTATATGTGTAATTGGACCTACAAGATTATAAAAGTATATACACAATTGAATCATTGAAGATTGGTTCAATTGGTAAGGGATTGGCTCATATCACACAACGATATGGCTTTAAAACTCACTATTAATGTAAATATCGAGTGGTATAAGTATATCTTTATAGGTACTTTTGAGTCGTAAAACATGCATTATGACTCGTAAATTCTTGATATCTAACTTATCTAAATTTCCGTCTATCAGAATATGCATATTGGAAGCATAATATTTATAACACACACACACATATCAGACCTTAGCTCTGAAAGTAGCATAAGAGAAACATAACTGATTAAGAATGAATGATGTTTTATATAATTTGGTTAGAAAGCTGTGTCGGTCCTACGAGCCCGGAGCATTAGTTCATGGGAGACATGTATGATTGGCCAAGATGCATTGTATTACTTTCAAGTTCTTCTAATGTGGAGGGTCCATTAACCATTATATATACTTTCACAACCACCACAAAATGCATCCCTTCAATCATTAAATTTATGTACATTTTTTGTTTTCGATCATTTCATAAAATTAAATACGCCTTATCTTGTTGTTCTATTAATTGAAGATAAATAATGTGTATTTTAATTTTAAGTATTTATATTTTTAATGCACCCAAAACTTTTCTCCATTGCAGTGAAAGTCAGTTGTAGATCTGGATTATCAAATTAAATCTGGAAGGTTTAGATTTAATGTTTTATTATTGAAACAAGAAGGCTAAATTAATTTGAACAATGAAATTTGGATCCTTATGATTAAGAACCACAACGAAAAAAAACGTGGAGAAAAACCGCAGTAGTGAAAAGATAATGACAATATTTGAGTGGTTTTGAAATTTTTAAGTGTCTTCTTATAAATAATCATTACATATAAATCGTTTCGTATGCAAATAATTTCCTCATGGATATTAATACGCTTCTCATACAAATTTGGATGTGTTTTTATTTTATAAAAAATAAAGAAAAAATATTGTCGGTGAGTTATTTGATTTAATTTTTAATAAAAAATATATTTTATTTAAAAAATTATACCATTACATTTTTAATATAATTTGAAAAAAATTGCCTCCCCCATTAAAGATCCTGCTGGTTCTTTGTTTTTTCTTTGGTCTTTTGAAACAAAAGGATAAATTAATTTGGACAATGAAAATTTGATATTTATGATTAAGAACCACAACGAGGAAAAAAAAAAAAGTTGGAGAAAAGTTGCGGTAGTGAAAAAATAATGAAAAAAGTCATGTTGAGTTTGAGAATCAGTAAATAATGTTCCCACGCATCATTTTAAATTTTATAAGCGTGTAACATAATATTCTACTTTATGATTCTCCATCCCGGAAAATTCAGCATCGTTCAAAAGCTACTTAAAAGATCAAAATTGAATACATAATTAAACCATTCATGAAGCATAAAGCTACCTTCCATGCCTAATATAAAAACTAGATAACTAATTTTTAAATATTAAGAAAATTAGTTAAGTTAGTTATTTATAATAAATGAGTAATATCTTCTCTAAAAAAAACACCCTTATTTATCATATACATTAGAATAAAAATCATTTAACGTGTGCAATTACTATGTAATTATTTTGTGCAAAAATAAATAAATTTGGAAGACAAAGTGAGTTAGAATTTATTTTTAAAATCTAATTATATCTCTAATTAGTTCTTAATTTCTTATATTTAGGATTGGCAGGAGATAGTATCATATAGTAGGGTCTCATATGGGAGGATGTAGTATTCCCCAATCCCATGTATATGAATTTACCCAATTTCAAATAACAAGCAATCATTTTTACTAAATATTCCTTTAATGAGTTTTATCAATCTTAATTCCATTCTTTGCCTCTCATTCTTACTCAATGTTTTGTGGGGACCTAAAAGTTTTTTTTAAGGTCAATATAATTATAGATAGGGGACATATATGAGGTACATATAGAGATATGATATATCAATTTCTCCAATTTTAAAACTTGACTATAATTTCGGTGGTTGAGTGGAAGCAAAACTGTCATCGTCCTTATCCAAAATTTCCAGAACTTAATTAATTTAATGGTTTCCTTAACTTGACAAATTTGTTCAACTTTTATGCGTATGTATGGCTCAAATCAATTTAAATTGAAACATGTTAAAGCAAATTTACCTTTTGATGTAAGAAAAGCAAATTTAGTATTGAATCGAACGGGCAGGAACTTAAAAATAATCCTTGTGAAGCAAGGCATGCCCAAATGGAACTTGGTATTTAATTAAAAATCAAGTTTTACATGGACTCCAGAATTTATTGAGAAGTAACACATGAAGCTATTTTACGTGGAATTCTATTTATAATTTTTACTCACATTTAATTTTGATTTGTCTATGGATTGCTTGGTGAAATGGAAGTATAACAAGAGACAGTTAAACTTATCAAAAGTAATGGAATTTTCCTTCTTCGGTTCATTAAAGTTTTAAATCCACACTTCTTTCACAATTAGGAAATAATTTACGGAATAGAATCTAGATGAGTTTTCCTTCCTCATTTTTATTGTATATTTACACAATTACGCTTAATAATTATAAACTAAAGTTCAGTTGAAATTATATTTTTTTTAACATTAAAAGATACTATATTTATTTATTAGGATTTGTTATTTTATATTTATTAGATGAACACATAACGTTCAAATCACCTAGCCAATCCATGTTGATCTAGTTGGTGAGAATTTAGCATATAAAGTTGTTTAAATTTTACTACTAATGTAAAAACTTTGCAACATTGGCAATCCATAAATACCTTTATAAGTGTTATTAGTCTTCGGAGATGTGTTGTCAATGACAGATCTTTCTCATTCAATCCAGAAAAGATGACAAAGATTTTTGGTACAAGAAAGGATAAGAATTTTATTTGGGTCAGATGTGAGATGGGTATTGCATATTGGGCCTTTGATCCATACTAATGGCAAATATGGGCCTACGGCCTAATGGGCTGATAACTTTAGGCCAGGTCTTAAACTGTCACATCTGAAGAACTGTGTAAGGGTCAAATAAGCTCAGTTGTTCTAATCATGTAACACAAAATCAGGCCCAAAAAAAAACACTATATAACACAAAAAGGACAAAACGTGTTATTTCACTATGAAAATTTACGTGGATATATTATTATTATTATTGTTATTTTAAATGATTATTATATACTACTTCTGGTGTTAATTATAAGACCTCGTTTATAGTTTACAAACAAGGACTTATAATTAGGGCCGAAGGTAGTATATCTGAATAATTTGAATAAGAAAATAATATAAAAAGAGGCGCACAAGACTTTCCAAAAGCGTACGTAGTTGCATTATATTTTTGAGTAAGATAGCTTTCAAATATGGCTATCATTTTGACAATATGTCTGAAACGAACCATCATTATCGTGGATTCTAAACAGAATCAGAGCCGTTGATATACCCACAAGGGTGGCTGGGGTGACGGTTGGGACGTTCATAATTTTGGTGGCAGCATCCTAAGATTTAAACGGTCGCTAGTCACTACCAACTCATGAAAAACTGGCTTTCCATTTGCTAATTTGCCGACGGCCTTTGATCTTAAGTTCTCTGTATTTTGCCATCTTTTCAAATTTTCTCACTCCTCCCATATGTTTGTGTTTTTGGCTTTTTTTTGTTTTTGTTTTTATGTTCAGTCAAACACGTCTCTCTACATTTGCGAACACGTAATCAGCTGGTTTCTGTCTTAATCTTTGGTCACGCCCTTCTGCTTTTTAAGAACGTGTAATTTAGTAATTTTAATAATTTATTTCTAAATTTTAAGGCGACGTCGTTTTCACTTCTTTTATCTCGCTCAACAGTGTGTTGTTATTTATTAATATGCTTGCACAGTTGTGGTAAAGAATGCAATGATTATTATAAAGAGGGCTCCAACTTTATCAGATGTAAGCGGGATCAATATGAAATGGGGACTTGAGACCTGCGACCAACGCTTGTTTATTTGTAACTTGGCCTCTATCTATTGGCCGGCTCTTTCTTTTTTGAATTACAAATATTTAAATCAAACATGAGACCTTATTCATATTGCGGCTAGGATAACTAGCTATTTACAGAAATTGAGATTATATAATATCTATAAATTAAAGGAGGTTTATAAGATTATGAAATAGGGAGGGGGAAATATGTAAAAGTAGTGATATGGGAGAACTTCCCCAACATTAGATAAATATCTTGCTCGATTACAAATTGTTGATCAGTAGAAATGACGTTAGCCAAGGATTTCTGTAACAACCTGTTAAGGAGAGTAATAACTTGTGGTGATTTGCTATCTACCTACCGTTTTAAATATAAGAGTAAGTAAAGAAATTTACTTTAATTTTAAATATAAGATTTCAATTCACTTTATCTATATAAAAAAAATCTAACTTTTCTTTTTCATCAGTTATTTCAAATAGCTTATTAAAATAAACTGCTTCAACACAATAGTGCTCACATATTTAGCTTTGATTGATAGTACTCCTTGTAAGATCTATTAAATTAATTTGAGTATATTAAAAAAAAACTAAATAGATTATTTAATTCTAACATATATAGAAAAATAAAATTGATTAAAATCTTACATTTAAAACAATAACTAACTTCTTAACTAGTTCTTATATTTAGGATGGGAGAAATATTATTATTTTTATTTCAAATACATACTTTTATGTAATTTGTCGTGTTTTGATTATTATGGTCAAATCATAAT